TGCCTTACTAGTAGTAACAAGAAGCTACTAGGAGCAAGTGCCTTACTTGTACGTAGTAACAAGTGCCTTACTAGTAGTAACAAGAAGCTAAAGCAACGCCCCACCTCCTTGGCCACTGGATCAGTGAGATCAACTTTCGGGGCATCCTCCTCGGAGAGCACCGTGAAAGGCGGAGTCGGAGCTCCCACGTCTTCACCTGAGAAAAGAAGGGAGGAAGGGGTTGTGTTCTTTTGGAGGCGTCGGATGATGTAGGGGAGGCAGAGAAGAAAAGTTTGTTATGTTCAATACTAAAGTGGTGGGCAGCTGCTAGTGGCAAGGATGCAAAAGACTTGGGTTCTTCGCATGGTCGAAATGGCTCCTAGAGTGCTAGGGAACAAAAAGCTTCAAACCCTCTTTCCATCGCTCTTAGGGTGGAGGCCATCGCTCTTAAACCCTCTTTCTTTCCTTCGGCCCGAATGCATACGGAGGGGTTCCCAATTGCTTAGGTGTCCACAATTGTGGGTGTCGCCGCCTCTCACCCCCTTTGGGGGGGCAGCTCTTGAGAGTTTCACCCCCTTTGCGGGTGAACACTCACAAATACTGTGGGAATCCGATGTTTGATGGTGTGTGGTACAAGTGGGTGTCATTTTGCTTGCGCATGTCATGTTGTTGTATTGACCGTTTGACCTATTAAGGTTTCTTCGGGATTTACTCTAGGTTTCTTTAGAGTTTAAGGTTCTATGGCATTCTAAGGTGTCCGGTTTATTGGAAAACATTCCTGTTCCCGAAAGAGACAAAGAGAAATCAAAAGAACGGGGAATGGTTGCATTTTCCTTTGGTCAAGAATGGTTGCTTAACATCGCAGCAACACGCAACATGTGTAGCAACGCACCAAATCAACCGAGTAGCAAATACGCTTGAAACCGATCTTTTCAAGGGTCTGTGAGGCTACGGGCTCTGTACCCGGCCAAACCAAACCAAGAGCTTCAACTCCCACAGCTGCTTCTGCTGATTCGGCAAAAGCCGACCAGCCAGGCATAAACACCACCTGCACAGTTTGTGAAGGACCAACACCCTACATTCATGAAGAAACTATGATCACAAACACCTCGTTTTGCGTCTCCTGGGGAGACGAATCTTCAACATTCATTGCTCATAATTACAACACATGTTCTAAAACTCTGTACTATGTGCAAGAACTCCTTCCTTTGTAACGCTACCAAAAAGCAGCAAGTCTTGCACACAAACGCCAGTGAAAGGCAGCACATGTTGAAAACACACGCTATCAAAAGGTCTAATGAGGTCTGTATGGGTCTGTAATGACCTATACCAGTTTGATGTCTTCAAGGAATTCAAGAATCGAAAGAATCAAGTTTTAAACAAAAACTAAAACATTGCGCAATGTCAAAATAAAAATGACAACACAAAAAATAGAAATCCCAAAGGGACTAGCGCATTCTTCACGTTCGAACACACTCAACGACCCCCCCACAGCAAATCGCCTGCTTGGCTGCACGATGTCGGGCAAACTCATGGTCCTGCCACTCAGTTTGCATACGCAAAGTATCATTGCAACACAGTTTTGGGATTAGTTATCTTGACTGCGGCATAAACCATGCAACTGAGGCACCCCATGGCACCCCTATGAAAAACTTGGGCATGCGACTGAGCATGTATCATTCCCTGAACATCTGGAGCTGCTTTGACCTTGTTCCTAGTAGGGTGGCACTTGTTCCTAATAGCTTCTTGTTACTACTAGTAAGGCACCTGTTACTACTAGCGTGGCACTTGTTACTACTAGCTTATGCTCTTCATTGCTCTTCTGCTTGCCACTGGCTTCTTCTTCTTCTTCTTCTTCCTACCAGTAGCTGGTTTCCTTCCCCGACTGCCACCCCTCCCCCCTGAAAGGAAATAGTAATACAAACTATAAACTGGTGGCCCAAAAAGCACAGAAACACTAGACTTCAGATCGGTGTATGGGTATTGGATGCCGAAGCCGTCCGGTCTTTATGGGCTTGTAGCCCACAGTGTCGGGCAAACCCAAACAGGGCTGGCTGTAACTGCTGTGACTGGCTGTAACTGCTTCAGCAATTTGCACTGGACAAGCCTCTCTGGATTCTTGTCCCGTGACTAGCCAGTGCAACTTGCGCATGAATATCTGAGGCAGGCTATCGCCAAACGGATATGGAGGGCGCCGAAGAAAAGAACCTGTGTGATTCATAGGTGGCTAGCCACATCTGTTGCGAAGGGGCCCAACCTCAAATGCCCAAATTTGCACAAGAAGCTACTAGGAAGAAAGGGCATCGCTACTAGGAACAAGGACGCTATGAGTAGCTCCTGGCATCGCTACTATGCGCGTTTTTGCAAACAAGAATATAGTTCACATGCTTCATTTCATATCACATCAGATCAACTCGTAGGATCTCATGTCATTTAATAGCATGAGATTTCATATTGTCATATCATATCACGCCATATATTTAATTTCAATCCATGTCACGACTCATCAAATCATATGGCATAGATCATGGCACATCGAACATCACAAAATGATATATCATATTACAATTTATAACAAGGTTATTGCTGTGGGTTATCATGGATCTCCACCGAAGCATCCTTCACAATACTTTCCGGGAAAATCATGAAAAAAACAATTCAGCATGAATCAAAACTCACTTGACTCACTTCTGAAAGTCCTGTGTGCAAAGGAATTCAAGGCGCTCTTTGAAGTGACCCAAATCTCCCCAGGATTTAGGCTTCACGTAAAGCGCTGCATCCATTCCGGGAAGACGTTGGTTACCCTCCTGAAGCAAAGGAGCATAGAGTAGGTATCTCAGACAAAAGCAAGCGCCGTGGACACAAAGCTTGATTTGCCGGTAAGAAAATACTAGGAACAAGAAGCTACTAGGAAGAAAGGGCATCGCTACTAGGAGCAAGGACGCTACTAGTAGCTCCTGGCATCGCTACTAGGAACAAGAAGCTACTAGTAGCAAGGCGCCTTACTAGTAGCAACAAGAAGCTACTAGGGGCTCCTTGCCTTACTACTAGGAGCAAAGACGCTAGGCTCCTGGCATCGCTACTAGTAACTAAGAAGCTACTAGTAAGTTATTCCGCCCGACAGCCACCTCGAGAGTCTGAATCACTCGCACTCTGCTTCCCCAAACGGCGCGGATATCCGCGAGCACGGAGTTGGTAGCATGCTTGGATTGGTTGTAAGCAACCACCTCAGGACTGGACATGTTTGATGAGCATCCAGCAGTACTGAAGTAATTGCTGTACAGGGACTGAGTTTCAGAATCAAACATTGACTCCAAGACTCAATGAAATGTGCTTGGAGGAATTGAGAGGCAGCCAACACAAGGCTTCTATTGCTTGGAATTTCTATGCTTTCAAAAGGTATGATCTTTGGTGACCAAGTTGCTGTTGGGAAAGGTGGCTCTGCCAAAGGAGCTGAAATGCTGCCCGTCTTCCAGCGGTGTTGAAGAGCCTTTACCGGCTTCCAGGCAAAATGAATAGCAAGACTGCTTGGACTGGGTTTAGACAAACAGAAGTAGGTTGGAGGCGATTGCTAGTAGGTTGTATGACTGGAATTGATAGAACATCTTTTCTCCGAATGCGTTCTGTCTGTGTGAGCTTCTCTGGACAGGATCAAACATTTATACACAATGAGTCCGTCTGCTAGCTGCCTGAAAAAAATCAAACATCGAGTTGATATCACTTTGGAACACTCGCAGAATGCTCATCAGCACGAGTAGTCTGTGAGAACAAAGTCAGTGTGGCGCATGGAGGGGGAGGTTTGTGGAAGCACAGAACCGCGCTGTTCAGGCGGATCCCAACAAGGAGGTCGAGACAGAGGAAGTTCATGAATCGATTGACTTAGATGGCTTAGTGTCTGATGAGCAGATGGGTCAATGAAAAGGCCGGGCTACCCGAGCTGGATCGAAAGGGGCCAAGGTTGAGGTGGCAAGGAGGTGTGTCAACAATTGCTTTCTCTGCCGGTCTTCTGCGGGTCGCTGAGAGAAGTGCTTGCAGAGCCACTGTCTGAAGAAACAAGCGTATCTTCGGCAACTTAGGCTGGAGGCCATCCCTACTACGTTGGACGGACTACTAGGGCGGAGGCCATCCCTACTAGGGTTGACTACTAGGGTGGAGGCCATCGCTACTAGAGTGGAGGCCATCGCTACTAGAAACACTGAAATAAGAAAGGAAACATGGTCTAGTATAGTTAGCGTATCTTCGGCAACTTGGCAAACGTACTTTGGGCATCTTCTGCGCCTTTGCTGCGACTGCCATCTGCCAAAAGGTATTTCTTTCATGGGACTGGTGAGATGTGCATGCGTAAAACGAAAAGAACTTTATTTTAGGGGTCCTTGAAAAAGAAGGACAGGAGAAAGAAGCTACTAGGAGCAAAGGGCATCGCTACTAGTAACGAGGACGCTACTAGTAGCTCCAGGCCTTACTACTAGGAACAAGAAGCTACTAGGAACAAAGGGCATCGCTACTAGGAGCAAGGACGCTACTAGTAGCTCCAGGCCTTACTACTAGGAACAAGAAGCTACTAGGAGCAAAGGGGATCGCTACTAGGAGCAAGGACGCTACTAGTAGATCCTGGCCTGACTACTAGGAACAAGAAGCTACTAGGAGCAAGGGGCATCGCTACTAGGAGCAAGGACGCTACTAGTAGCTCCTGGCCTTACTATTAGGAACAAGAAGCTACTAGGAGCAATGACGCTACTAGTAGCTCCTGGCCTTACTACTAGGAACAAGAAGCTACTAGGAGCAAGGGGCATCGCTACTAGGAGCAAGGACGCTACTAGTAGCTCCTGGCCTTACTACTGTGAACAAGAAGCTACTAGGAGCAAGGGGCATCGCTACTAGTAACAAGGACGCTACTAGGAGCAAGTGCATCGCTACTAGGAGTAAATATATCTCTCAGAGTTTTGCACCACGCCACCGAGGCACCCAGTTTGGCACGGAAAGAGATCTGGATTCACAACAGCCAACGCCACATGTGGGGTTGAAGCAACAATTTCTGCTACATTCATAGCAGTAGTTACGGTGGGTTAGACTATGTCGACACCTTTACTGAGAACAAACACAGATTGAACAATTGCAAAAACACTTTTTTCTTGGGTGTGTGGGCTTTGTCAAGTTTGTCAATCCATCCTGAACTCTGCTTCCCTTTCCGTTTGGCGACTTTGGATGAAGGCCATGCAATGCAATGTCATACCCAGGTCACGGTCTTCAAACTTGGGCATTGAGATGACCTGAACACAGCACACCTGATGGACCATGGAACCTGGACATGCGTGCTCCTCCAAGACATGTTGAAGCCTTGATTCCAGCTACTTTTCAGGCAATTCCTGCTGTTTGTTAAACTGTTGGATCCACAAACAGAGTTGAACTGGGGTTGTTGTCTTTTCCCTTGAAGGTCTAGGTCGTGTATCACTGGCGGTAGTTGAAGCAGTGTGTGTGTGTGTGTTTCTTTGAATCTGCCATGGCTGCTTCTGATTGCTTGAGCAAACCTTCTTTACCAATTCCAATGGCATTGACTCATGCAGCAAACTAAATAAGTTTTTGACCTTACCTACTGCATGCTACTAGCGGGTTCTACAAGGTCTTGAACCTTGGCTACCTGGTAAGCTCCGGCACAGCTGGTGGGCGAAGGTTTCCAAAGCTGATGTGACACCATGTGCGTGAGTGTGTTGGGCTGCAGTGATGGGTTCTCCCCTGCTCAAAGCTGCAAATGACCATCCGCCCAGAACACTAGACCCGCACAGCAAGTGCACGTCAGGACACTGAGAGGTTGATGCGAACGAGTACATCGTAGAAAGGAAAGAAAACAAGCAAGCTCCCGCGTGCAAACACAAGTCACAAGTTTCAAGACTTTTACTCTAGACATCGAAACGTAAACCTTGCGTTTTAGGTTTCTACTTTTCGATAGGACGATCCATCTTTACTTTCCGATACGAGTTCTCGAAACCCTGTATACACTGTTGCGAAACTCTCGATTGAAACTTGAACCAGATTTTGTGGGTTCATTTTTCGGACTCAATTCCACGCATGTCCAGCATGCGTTGCTCTCCACTGCAACTTTTTGTAACTGAGAGTCTTCCCATTGAGACTTCCTTTGACCAGTTACCATATGTTACCACCACTACCCCTTGCTACAACGGTGTCTTTCCCTCAAGGATTCTCATTCGCACCATGCTCAATGCCTGGCAGTTTCGGAATGGCAAAGTCCCGACTGCGGCGCCTGGAGAGGGGCGTCACCAGGACATGAATTGCTCAACTTCGAATTGAATGATTGGCGAATTCGCTCTAAGAATTTATCCAACACTTTTATTCCCTCACATGCTGGGTAGGAAGTATGTCGGAAAAAGAACCCTATGACCTACTTAGGCAGTACTCCGGTACTACTAGGAACAAGGACGCTACTAGGGGCTCCTGGCCATACTACTAGGAGCAAGGACGAAGCTACTAGGAACAAAGGGCATTTCTATCGCCCGCAAACATCTCCAACAGTTGAGTAATGCAACCCTCCGGGCGCTCAGTCCAGCACGCACGGGAGCTCGACCCACACAGTGAGAAAGTGGTCTTGATAATTTGGACAGCATCGTCAAAATGCCCTCAGCCAGTGACTGGATGTGAAAAGAGCCACAGTGAGCAACTAAATCATTGCTATCAGGTTGGAGGCCTTCGCTATTAGGTTGGAGGCCATCGCTATCAGGTTGGAGGCCATCGCTATTAGGTTGGAGGCCATCGCTATCAGGTTGGAGGCCATTGCTATCAGGTTGAAGGCCATTGCTATTAGGTTGGAGGCCTCTGCTATCAGGTTGGAGGCCATCGCTATCAGGTTGGAGGCCATCGCTATCAGGTTGGAGGCCATTGCTATTAGGTTGGAGGCCATCGCTATTAGGTTGGAGGCCATCGCTATTAGGTTGGCCTCCTTGGAGGTCATTGCTATTAGGTTGGAGGCCATCGCTATTAGGTTGGAGGCCTTCGCTATTAGGTTGGAGGCCATCGCTATTAGGTTGGAGGCCATCGCTATTAGGTTGGAGGCCATCGCTATTAGGCTATTAGGTTGGAGGCCATTGCCGATAGGTTGGAGGCCATTGCTGATAGGTTGGAGGCCATTGCTGATAGGTTGGAGGCCATTGCTATCAGGTTGGCGGCCATCGCTATTAGGTTGGAAGCCACGGCGATTAGGTTGGAGGCCATCGCTATTCGGTTGGAGGCAATCTTTATTGGGTTGGAGGCCATGGCGATTAGGTTGGAGGCCATTGC